ACAGAGATATGCTTGACTTGATCCTTGCCTAAAGGCCTAGTTCTAATAGCCTTTTTTTTGTTCCAAAGGCTACTCAGTTTTATAGTTTACCAATTGGAGACAAAAAGCCTATTCAATTTTGTAATTTACCAACTGAGGTGAAAAGCATTTGCCACTCCCAACCCTGAAAGTTCTTGAACTTCTCTGTTCTCTTTATTCCTTTCCATTTCTGCTTATAAAAAAGTCAATTATTTCTTGAGTGCTTCTCTTTCGTGAAGCATCTTGTCAAATGCAGCCAACACTAACCAACATATACAATTAACATTTGTTTTCTACTTTCTTCTCCCAGAGCTACAAGCCTGCTACGTTCATTATTTACCTTCCAAGTTATTGTAGGTGACAGTTTTATCAAATATTCCAATGCATAACATAATCATTCTTCCAGCTTATAAAATCAGCTTACTTGAACGCTAAGCCACTTCTACAAAAGGAAGGTTTTTATTAAAACACACCCCATCTCTGGGTATCAATTTCTGTATCAATCAATATATGCCAGGTTTTGTCAAAATTTTAATGACGTACAATAACAAAGACTTATTTCTTGTTCATGCTGAATGTCTGTTGCTGGTTGCTGAGGACTTCACTTTACAGCTCCTCACTCTATGTAGGCTCATGGAATCATGATCATGAACACTGCCAGACTCAAAGCAGAGAGAAAGAGAGTTCCAGAGGATGACAAAATAGCAATTCAATGCTATGGCCCTTGTTGACACACAATCTGCTTACAACTGATTGGCCATGTCGGGGAGAAAGAAATTTTCCTCTGCTCTTCCAGGCTCTTCTGGCTGGTCTAAGAATTGAAGTTGACATGAGACAGATTAAAAGTAGAAAATCAAACAAAAGTTTAATAACATGTATACATGAGAGAGACCCAGGAAAACTGAATAACACACCCAAATGGCTGAAATCCTCACCTTAGACATCATCTTCATCTAAAGACAAAAGAGGGTGTTGGGAGTTAGTGGTTTGGGACTTCAAAGGGGAGGAAAGCAATTGCCGTGGAGATGGAGAAGCAAATGTTTGGTAAGCAAATGTTGCTGGATCATGCAGAGACAGTGGGACACAGAGAGAAATTTTAACAAACAGACTTTGCTAGGTTCCTCCCTGTCTACACGCCTAGTTCATACTACAGTCCTCTATTTACATTCTTCAGGCAGCTAGGGGGTCAGTCAAAGTTTCTTCCTGAGTCTTTTGGGCCATGATTGTTTTCAACTCGAAATTATCCACATACCAAAGAGAAATTTTGGGGTGGTAAATTTTGTTCCCCTATGGCCAGAACTAGTCATGTGGTCCCATTCAATCACAAGAGAGTCAGAAAGCACAACCTACCACATGTCCTGAAGGTAGAGAGCAGGAAGTATTTGTGGACAGCATAATCCAAGTGCATATGAACTGTATAATCAAATGTACTCTAGGACTATATAGAGGCCAAACTTCACTCAATTGCACCCCCTCATCCATTCTCAGACTTAAGAGGCCCCTGACCAGCTTTAATAGCACAAGTACATACTATGTACCTTTCTCCTAGACTTCCACAAAAGGATCTGTGGTGATTTTGTCAGGTAACTATGCCAGGTAAAAGAGAATCCCCTGACCCTGAGATAAAACCAATTCATTGATGCCCAGACCACCAAATTTATCTACCAGAGACTTAAAAGAATATCAGATTATAACTGATGCTTTGACCAGAATCAACAAGATCCATGGGGCAGCAATCATCCAGGTTAATTTTCCCAGTTTCTGAATATATAGATAGAGCAAATGGCATCACTTCCATTAAAACACCCCTTGATCCACTCCCCCCAGACAAAAGTAAGTCTGTTATAATAGGAAAAGCCAAGCAGAAGCCCCTCCTTGGAAAAGAAGGAAATAAAAAGTAAATTCCTTTCAAACCTGTCAAATAGCTGTTCTATAGAGTGTTGAACTCTACAGATCTAGCACGAAGCAAAAGAATCACATGACTATTGAGCTACTGATGATATGGAAGTGACCTCATTCAACTTCTCTTAGAGGTAAATGATGGACAAGCAAATAACCTTTGGCTATTCTTTCCACACAGGTTCTTTGCCCTGAATAACTAACAAGAACATGCCAGATTCAGCTAATTTGGTAGCTTGAGAGAACAACTGGTTTTTCCTGTTTGTGAGCTATACTTTCAATTCAATAGTTTTAAGAACTATAATAGCATAGAAGCAAAGTATAAGTGACATCTGGAAACCTGAGGTTTAATTCTCTAAGCACTGAAATTTTTTGTATTTTAACTGTTTTGGTAAGCAATTCTTTAAAAATATAAATTGCCATAGTCCATGCTCTCTTTCTTTCTTGTTATCTTTTCGTCTTTTCCTATGGAGTCTTAAGCCATTAAAGATTATAAACTATCAGCCTTGACTCTGCCTGAAGATACTGATCTGGGGAATGTCACTTTGTGTGCATAATGCTTGCAGTTTCATCTGCACCACAAATAATTTAATTTAGTCTTAATTTCTCTGGGCCACTCTTGGAAACTGCAGTTATTGTGCAATATTATAATGCACTCATGCTTTCAATAGGTTTGCCAGATTTAGAAAATAAAAATATAGGATACCCAGTTAAATTTTGAATTTCTGATAAACAATAAATTCTTTTTAGCTTAAGTATTGTCACTTGCACAACCTAAAAGTTGCAAGTTCAGTTTTATTTGTGGATCTTACTGAGGACTGTAGCCTGGGAGACAGCCTCTTCAGATAGCTCTGGGGAACCGCTCTGAAGAGTTAAGGGAGGAGCCAGGATATATAGGAAGTTCCTGATGAAAACAAAACATGCAGTCTAACGTCAAAAGATTACTGCTAATCACACAAAAACCAGACATCTAAAGTTAATTATGTTAGTGCTTTTCTCTATGGACCAATGCATTGAAATTATTCCTTAGATATACATCTCAACTATTTAAGGCCAGTATCCAGAAGCCTAGCCTGCTTCCTGTCTTTCTCCATCCTGAATTCCCCTCAGGGTGCTAGTGGTGGGGTGCTCTGCCTTGGCTGGTGGCTTGATCCTTGTACAGCTAGAACGGTGGGCGACACTCTGTTTACTGGAATGGCAGGCAACATCCCCTTTCCACAGTGTACACCACATATTGCATATACTAAACAATTATTCATTGTTTATTTGGAATTCAAGTTAAACTAGGTGTCCTGTGTTTTATCTGGCAGCACTAATCAAGTACCAGTGAGATACCTAGTCCTGTTTGGCTCTAGCTGCCCTTAGACTGATTTGTTACTCTAATTTGTCTGTCTTTAGGGTGTCAAAATTTTGCCTTTCAGATCTGTTATCATAGAAACACCAAAGCCGGTCCGCTGCCCCAGTGCCCCAGATTGCTGTTTTTCTCTCTTCCTTCACAGCCATCTCTGTTCTTCACTGATACTTCTACCCCTATTGCTACTTTTGCTGTCTGCCACCTTTTTTCAATACTGTGCTCACTCCTTTTCTGTTCCATTTTTTCTTCCTATGACAGCTAAGTGTACTGTTTGAAAGCATGGACTTAAAGGCAGACAAATTAGAATTTGAATCCCAGTTCACCTTTCAGTACATATGGGAGCTTCAGTAATTACTTAATATCTGTAAGCCTCAGGTTCTCCTTCTGTAAAATACAGGTACTAATGTCTACTTTATAGGGCTGTTGTGAGGGTTAAATGAGATTGATACAGGCAAACTACTCAAAGGTACAATCCTTACTGGATTATTATTACTAAAAGAGCTTCAGGCCTTGGGTGCTGACTTGAATCTTTAAATGTGTTGGATGCCTAGACTTGCAGTTTAGGCTCCGCTGGATATTCTTCCCTGGTGAGCTTTTGTACTGCCTGGCTTGTCTTCACCACCATTACCAACCAGTTCAGGTCCGTTCAGGAAATATGTGTTAAGTTTCTACTATGTGCTAAGCACTGTGCTAGGTGCTGGAGATCCGGAGATAAATAGGATAGCACTGACCTCAAGGAGAGTGTTGGGCAGAAAGGATATATATAAATCAGATCACAATACAGTGAAGTAAAATATTTTGATATGCACAAGATGCCTCAAGATGTTATGGAACCACAGAGAAGTTCAGACCCCTGGGAGGAAGGAAACAAGAAAAGGCTTGAAGTTTGTGATAATATCTGAACAGAGAATTAAGAGATGAATGGGGCTAACTTAAAAAAATATAGGCAGGGGCTTCCCTGGTGGCACAGTGGTTGAGAGTCTGCCTGCTGATGCAGGGGAC